CCTACTTGAAAAAATATTCTTGTATTTGGTGTACTCAGAATTGACAACTTTCATGAAGTTCGATTGGAATAATAAGTCCTATGGCAGATCCAGTGGGTAATTGCCGAAAACGTCTAGAGGTGCGTTTGCAAATTGTAATAACGCGCAGGAATTTAATGAGCAAGGAATAATGTTCCACGAGAACCCACAGGGGTAGGGGGGGAAGAGTTGAATTATCTTGAAAGGATGTAAGCGCTTGGTTCAAACTAGATCAGTTGTGGCTGAAGAAATGAGAGTTAAATGAGGCCATTTGCCAGATCCTTGCCTCAGCCATGATAGTCTACACCACCACAATGGATGTCGATTGATCAGTGATGCGGATTCCGGACCGTTTGCAGCACGCGATCAGCGCCACTGATCGGTGGCCTGGCGCAACCGATAGCAACAAAAGCATGAGCCCGTATCCATGTGACTTGGTTAGTTAGAAGCGTGCCGACTATCGCTCTGTCCTTTTTGCACTACGTTCTTATTGCTTGCCTTGTCGGCGCGCTGAGAACGAGAGAGAACCTTGCTGTTTCACTCAAGCAAACGTCGAATCGGTCGAGCGACCGAAATGTGTTTTCTCGGCCTCTCGGTTCTCGGCGACAAGCGTATATCAAGAGACATGGGAGCATGAGAACGTTCTAGATAATATATAAATTTTAATAAATTGTAATAATCATATATCCCTCCCTTTAATTGTAATAATCATATACCCCTCCAGAATATTATAAATCGTGTCAAAACGCGATAGTTGACGAGAGATTAATTGTTTATGATTTTCTATTTGTGTTATGTACCACGGTCATAAATTCGATCCGCAAGAAATTGGCGTGGTCGAGCGCGTAAGGTGAGATCGGAAATAAATACTATAATTAGTAGTAAACATATATATTAGGTCAAATATATTTTCATATAATTTTTGAAATTATTCGTATGTGTAATTTTTAAGCAATAGTTGTAGAAAAAAAACCGATTCGCTTTTCAATAAGCAAATAAAAAATTATTTTAAAATTACAACATATAAAGACTTTCAATTGTGCACTACAAAATTATATTGGTATCATCTTTATTTATATTATTAGTAATCCCGTTTTCGAAATTTTGTTAATTAACAGAATTTTAAATGCGGATGTGATAGTTAGAAAGAAACATTTTATACAAAATATTAATCGATACGAAGCATATTTGTCATAAACGCAACATCATTAAACATATTTTTTTTATCGAACTACTTGTATCACAAAGGTATACGAGTATTAAGGGGAAAAAAGGAAAAAACAGGATTTTCGCATGAGACTATCAGCGTCAGACTGTCCGCACATTTCATTTACTCAGCCACATCGATTAATTGAGTTTGACGTTTACTAGATATAGAATCCACACGACGAACACTCTCGTGTTTCGTATTCTCAAGAATCTCGGGTTGTCGATGCAATGCGCGATATTATTATCAAAATATCACTCTCTTTCTCTACTTTCCTATACTATATATTTTGAATATTAATCGGAATAAAGTGAAGTGTATTAGATATTATTATGGTGTATACTTCTACGAAATACGCAACATTAAAATTTGTGTAAATGTATCCTCTTGGCCAATATGTACGTCTTTTAAGATGTTATGTTAAGTATGTTATAATGAAATTAAATGTAACACACGTGCGCACACGCACACGCACACGCACACGCACACATAATCACATGCACACACCCGTGGGCTCGATGTTTATTAATAAACATTGATGATTTTTGAATTTTAATATTTTTTAACTTTAGAGTTTTAATTATAATAATTGTAATAATAATGGAAGTGCTGCGTAATATTCTCGGGGCCAGTAGTGGCAGTGATGTCGCAACTTTCTCCTCCACGGCCTTCTCCACGGCCTCCTCCACGACCTCTTCTGCGGCCTTCTCGGTGGCCTCCTCCTCGGTCTCCGCGACTACCTCTGGCTCTTCCTCTCTACTAAGGGACTATACCCCTTCGTGCATGCCATAATGCACGGGAGCGGCCGGTATATTTACATTTACAATTATTTCCAAATCTAAAAGTTAAAAATTAATTTTTTACATTTTCCTAGGTGTGCGTGCGTACGTGCGTGCGTGAGACAATATTTTAAATAATTTTAAGCATTATGTCCGGAAATTTTAATACGCTTTTTCCTTCCCAATAAGTAAGATACCTCTAAAATCGATGCAAAATCAACTTTATGTAAGATACCTTTTAAAGTTCTTTATGAAATATCTTAAAGATGCTTCTTAAAGAACTTTTAAAGAAATCTTAATATTACCTTATATGTCAACTTTACATGTTTCGCTCATTGGGTTTATAAACGTCATACTCTCGCGGACAATATTTTTAATACGCTTTTATACGTTATATCCTTACAGATGTTTAAATAAGTTTACAAAGATTTAAATTTTACATCTAATAGTTTTAATCTATTCTCGAGGGGCCATCAATATCATTTATATCAGCAGCATGTAATCCTAAAGTACTGCGTTTTTTTTTAGTAACACTATTGTTTAATATGTTCGTCGACATACGAGAGAAATGTTTTTCTTCGATAATTATACTATAAGAAGTTTTTTCTCTCGCCTTTAATGCTTTCACAATGCAAGTAGCATTAACGGAAGCTGGCAATAATTTGTTGCGTTTTTTTGTTTTCAAATCAGTTAAGAAGGAAAACATTCTCTCCGCATCGGTATTTGGAAGTGATCGTACAGCATTTAGAAGTTTTTTTAAGTTTGGATATTTATCGATGTTATTTGGATGCTGAGATTACAAAATTTGTTTCCACATATCATCGGATCTTAATTTAGCGAGACTTTTCTTCCGTAATGTAAAATTTAATGGCAATACAAACCATTCTTTCTTTAAAGCATCTTCATCGAAACCACCGATAGTTTGAGCTATAAACAAAACATTGCTGATGTTTCTTTATCAGTATCATGTAAACATACTGAAGGTCCAAAAACATTTAATTTTGATAAAAAGATATCGTTTACAGGCAATCTTTTATGAATTCCTTCAGCAGCAGTCACATAAAACATCAAACAGTTGCTTCGAACTATTGTAATTATGTTTTCGTGGCTTTGCATCATTAATTCGTTCAGATATTCCTGACATCCTAAGTTAATTTCATCAAGATTTCTTTGATTTTTTTTAAAGAAAACAATATATGTACAGAAAAACATTGTATATGCTCATTCTTTAAAAAATTTTGGCATAATTTACTAATAAAGTAATGTTAAAGATTTTGGTTGCAATTCATGAATTCGTGTTTCTAATGACTGAAAATGTGCATTAAATTTGTTTAAAAAATTTAAAATATAGTGTAAGAAAAAAAAAAGTTTTTGTCTTACATTATCCATTATAGATAATAAATCTTTAGCAGAACCTGCTTTTTCGCTTACAACTATTTCATAAAGGAAGTATCTTATTGTATCCTAATATTCTAGAAGTCTTTTAACACAAAAATAGCGAGAAAGCCAACGCGTATCACATAATTTTAATATTTTAAGACTTTTTTCTTGAAAACATTCATAAAATTCAGTGAATACAGCCGATCGTTTTGGACTGCTGTTAATATATCTAGCAATCTTTTAAATAAATTCCTTGCAAAAATCGGGTATTTTATTGCACGCAGCATTCGCTACTAGGAACGCGGAGAAATGGCAAGAACACGAGAATATTAATAAACGTGGACATACGTTCTAATTTTTTTTTAAACGATAAATGTTTCCCTGTCATGACAAACGCATTATTGCATGACAAGGCAACAATATTTGTAAATGGTATCTGTAATGTCCACATTTCATTTCTAAATGCTTCATACAACTTTTCTGCGCTGCAATCTCTAGCATCAATATCAATTAATTTGACTAATTGCATTTGATTATCTAATGTTTTTGGCTCAATGTATCAAATAAGAAAAGTCATCCATTTGTCATTACAAATATCAGATGTTTCATCGATAAATATTGTAAATTCTGTGTTCTGAATGTTGTTCACAACACGTTCCGTTTCAAGTGGACTCAGACTTTGTTCGTAATAATATTTGTACATTTTTTACGATTCATTTTCATGCTCTGTAATACATTAGGATCTTTTCCAATATATTGGAATAAACTAAGAATCTCATTTGCAGTTGTATGAGCAATATTTTTTCCGCGATTAATGTGGCAAATCTTATTTCTGCTTCATTTATACGCTCCTCGAATAAAAAGTGATTCATTATTTTGTACATTTAAATTTTCATTCGATTCACTTGTTTCATTAAAAGAACTTTTATATTTGTTTACATGTGTTTCGGATTCTGCGTGACGATAGATATAAGATAAATGAGTAGCAGTAAGATACTTATCACAGATTAAACAATAAAATAAGTTTTCACCATATGGCGCTTTACGTAACCAACATTTGAACTGCTCAAAATATAACCATTTCTTTTTAAATGTGATGTATTATTACATTTTTTAAATTGAAGTATTGTTAATAGATAATTAATAAATAGAACTACAATATCATCATTAATGGACAATGTATTATTTTCAAGATTATTTTTATGACACGCAGAATTCGTATGTCTCGAAACATGTATTGAATCGCATGAATAATTTTTATTGCACACATTACAGTAATACATATTGCTATCGAATGATACTTTACATATCCAAGATTTGTATCTTTCGTCTATAAGCCAAGCTTCTGAAAAACTTCGCTTACATTTTTTAGTTAATTTGTCACACATGTCTCTATATAGCTGTTAACTTAATATATAAATATGCATTATATAAATATGTGAATATTGTATATGTGTGTAAAATCCCACCTTCAATATCAAATGATATTGAAAATGATGTGGCAAATATCGCTTGCAACAATGCGAGCAGGAATCAACAAGAATATAGCGCGTCGTTGCGGAAAAACTTCGATGCTCATTTATCAATCCGCGAACGCGTCACATATGCACGCATACTCTGCGTGGAGGAGCTGAACAGACTCCACGAAGCGAACGAGAAGACGACGCGATAGAAGGTGAGTGCAAACAATTTATTATTTCATCAATAATAAGTCTGTACTGTTTATTACAAATATCCTAATAACACACTTTATCTGGGATACATCCTAGGGATGTCTTTAGAATGTTCAAAGGACACACGGACGTCCTTTAGGACATCCTCAGGACATCCCCTGAAGTTCTGTGCTGTTATTGGTATAAATAAAAATCGGTGTACTATAATTAGGGTTGCTAGATGGCTGGGATTTTCCGTAAATTTCTTTTAACAAAATCTTAGGTATCATTTGACACTTTTAACCTACTTTTTACGATCGCAACTGTCGGCACTTACATTGAAGGTTTATAAAAAATTCATACACTCAACTTGAAAAATTTTTTTCTAAATAATTATAAAAAAACTTAAAGAATAATAAGTCCTATAGTTTTCGACTTGACTTTCTATTTAAAAAAAAAGTTATTTTAGTTAAAATGTCATAAAAAATGATCAGTATTATAATTTATGTGGGCACATTAATACAAGAGGCTTAACTTAAATAATTTATAATAATCTCTTTTTCAACTATCGGGCATATATTAGTATTAACCTAGCAATTTTATATAGCAATTTTATTACACGAAATTCTTTTTCGTCCATTTTTTGAAAATCACTCGACTTCCTCGATTCAAATGAATGCCAAACACAAACAAATAGACCGATCTGGCTGTAACTTGGTGTGTGTTCCTCCAAGAGATGCTACTAACTAAATCTAACCTTAATACGCGCCAGTAGTATCATCTCTCTGACTTTGCACGGACTTTTCAAACGACCCTCGTATATATATACGAGTATATATAATACTGATATTAAAAGTGCAATAATAATACAATATACCATAGATAGGGTATATTATTATTATTATTATTATTATTATTATTATATAAATAAGTACCTCAAGTATCTCTTGAACAGTGCATTTTAGGGAAAAACGTTTTTTTCAGACATAAGTTTTATAAGTTCAATGGAGACATAAAGAAGTGCCATTGCAAGTTGTTCCTCTTATTTTCATTTTTATCTGAAAAAAAAATTGTAGTGTTTTGAAAAGCTTTTGAGGTAAGCTACGGGAATATGAATAAAAAATGGAGTTGCATTTAAAATAATGAAAGTGAACCTTGTCTTGTCCTTAACAACATCACCTCAGAAACTAATAGTATTATCTCTTTATGTCTCTCTCTCTTGAAATTATTAAACTTTTGTCTGAAACATTTTGTCCTAAAATGTATTGTTCAAGACATATTTGACGTAATCATTACAAATGAGATACCTTGAATTATTTTTTGGAATAATAAAATTCCTGCCGCAAATTTATTATCGCATATAGATTGGCATAAATATGAAGCATATTAAAATTCGGTATCAATCTATAGTATCAATCTAAATAAAGTATTAGGGTATGTTCCGAGTTACGCATGAAACGCATGATGTATCTTTTTGTTTATCAATTAATAAAGAAGGATATAACGATACATCATACGTAAATTCATGCGTAAATATTTATCTATTTTATTAGGAAAAAAAAGACAATCGAGATCATCGCTGCCACAGATGGTGTTGCAATTGGAGCAGCTGAAATCGAGATTGCAATTGCAACATTGCAAGAACAGCAGCTGCAGCAACCGCAATAGCAGCAGCAACAGCACCAGTAGGAGCTGCAGCAGGAGCTGCAGCAGATGTGGGAGCGGCCAAGAATAGGTATTATTTTCTATATGTATATTATACACGTACAGGATGTGAGTGTAAGATATTTTATATCTTAGTGTGACACATATATGCATATTAAATATAAAATACCTTATAAACTATTTCAATTTTTCAACGTATTTTAATATTTTGATGCACAAAATAATGAATCAATTGATATAAAGAAAAGACAATGTTACTTTTAAAAAGATATAACTTGTATGTTGTAAAACGCATAAACTTTTTGCTATAAACAAGATATATGTTTTCTTTATACCAATTAAGAGCCCAAGCACAAAGATGACTGTAACTGAGTCGTGAAACTTACGTTATTAGAATTATTAAAATTATTAGAAGAATCACATTGTGTAAAAAGAATCATAATTTCATTTTTTAAAAATAGAGATTATCTTTTTTAACGCCTCCATCTAGAAACTCCATCTAAAACATTATTTTGTATCTTATATATTTTTTAAGATATTAGCTTAAACCAATAAAAATGAAAAACACTGTATATAATATGTATAATATATACACAGTATTCCAAATTTTTTTACGTACCGCTTATGGGCAGATAAATCGGACTAAACTGAGTTACCAAGTTGTCTACCACTTTTCATAATAATTAACAAGATATTAATTTCGAAAGATAGTCTAACAAAGGGGTATATCAACTTATAAATCAACTTGTAGATATCTTTCAGAGTTTTTGTACGAAATAACTTAAAGATGTTTCTTAAAAAATTCCAAAGATACCTTAAAGTTGTTTTATGCGTTGATTTTAGAGTTCCTTCAGTAGATAATTAAAAAAAATTGTAAAACCTGCAAAATAGTAGAACTTTCCGATTCAATTTAGTCTGCTTCATCTCGTGCTCATAAGCGGTGTATCAAAAAGTTTGGAACATCAAGTATATATAAAATACATATAAACATTTTAAAAATTATCTATAAATTTAATTTTTAGTTCGAAATAGACGAGGACATGGCTGCTCCCGTGCATTATGGCATGCACGAAGGGGTATAGTCCCTTAGTAGAGAGGAAGAGCCAGAGGTAGTCGCGGAGACCGAGGAGGAGGCCACCGAGAAGGCCGCAGAAGAGGTCGTGGAGGAGGCCGTGGAGAAGGCCGTGGAGGAGAAAGTTGCGACATCACTGCCACTACTGGCCCCGAGAATATTACGCAGCACTCCCATTATTATTACAATTATTATAATTAAAACTCTAAAGTTAAAAAATATTAAAATTCAAAAATCATCAATGTTTATTAATAAACATCGAGCCCACGGGTGTGTGCATGTGATTATGTGTGCGTGTGCGTGTGCGTGTGCGTGTGCGCACGTGTGTTACATTTAATTTCATTATAACATACTTAACATAACATCTTAAAAGACGTACATATTGGCCAAGAGGATACATTTACACAAATTTTAATGTTGCGTATTTCGTAGAAGTATACACCATAATAATATCTAATACACTTCACTTTATTCCGATTAATATTCAAAATATATAGTATAGGAAAGTAGAGAAAGAGAGTGATATTTTGATAATAATATCGCGCATTGCATCGACAACCCGAGATTCTTGAGAATACGAAACACGAGAGTGTTCGTCGTGTGGATTCTATATCTAGTAAACGTCAAACTCAATTAATCGATGTGGCTGAGTAAATGAAATGTGCGGACAGTCTGACGCTGATAGTCTCATGCGAAAATCCTGTTTTTTCCTTTTTTCCCCTTAATACTCGTATACCTTTGTGATACAAGTAGTTCGATAAAAAAAATATGTTTAATGATGTTGCGTTTATGACAAATATGCTTCGTATCGATTAATATTTTGTATAAAATGTTTCTTTCTAACTATCACATCCGCATTTAAAATTCTGTTAATTAACAAAATTTCGAAAACGGGATTACTAATAATATAAATAAAGATGATACCAATATAATTTTGTAGTGCACAATTGAAAGTCTTTATATGTTGTAATTTTAAAATAATTTTTTATTTGCTTATTGAAAAGCGAATCGGTTTTTTTTCTACAACTATTGCTTAAAAATTACACATACGAATAATTTCAAAAATTATATGAAAATATATTTGACCTAATATATATGTTTACTACTAATTATAGTATTTATTTCCGATCTCACCTTACGCGCTCGACCACGCCAATTTCTTGCGGATCGAATTTATGACCGTGGTACATAACACAAATAGAAAATCATAAACAATTAATCTCTCGTCAACTATCGCGTTTTGACACGATTTATAATATTCTGGAGGGGTATATGATTATTACAATTAAAGGGAGGGATATATGATTATTACAATTTATTAAAATTTATATATTATCTAGAACGTTCTCATGCTCCCATGTCTCTTGATATACGCTTGTCGCCGAGAACCGAGAGGCCGAGAAAACACATTTCGGTCGCTCGACCGATTCGACGTTTGCTTGAGTGAAACAGCAAGGTTCTCTCTCGTTCTCAGCGCGCCGACAAGGCAAGCAATAAGAACGTAGTGCAAAAAGGACAGAGCGATAGTCGGCACGCTTCTAACTAACCAAGTCACATGGATACGGGCTCATGCTTTTGTTGCTATCGGTTGCGCCAGGCCACCGATCAGTGGCGCTGATCGCGTGCTGCAAACGGTCCGGAATCCGCATCACTGTGTCAAGGGTACTCAATCCCCTCGAAGCACAGTCGGCGGGATTCTCCTTACCTGGCATAAAACGCCACACGGAAGGAACTGAATCATATATATGGTTGTAACTCGATTCCGTACGTAATTCTTCCATTTAGCTGGGTGGCATAAAATCCAGGTAAGGGTAACTGATAAATCCGTCCAAAGGAAAATCTGATTTTTAGATCCAAAATGCTCCGTATATTGGAAACAAGGCATGCTAACATTAGCGCAGCATTTAACTCGAGACGCGGTATTTTTAACGGCGCCTTTTTAACGGCGCTACTTTGGTCTTAGAATAAACAATGTTAACTTGGGTACCGAGATCCAGTGTTTCGATTCAAACATAGACTACCACAATCATGATGAGTTGAGATGCATGGGAAAACCCGTGTAGTTCGATTGAACGCACGGCAGAAGAAGTGCGGAGCCACCCTGGGATTTCCAGTTCACTTAATGTTGGTAGTTGATGTCTAAAGCTAGCCCATTGACCCTGTAACTTCGATGACAAAGAGACATCCTAGTCTACTTTAGCTCCAAAGATTCTGAATAAAGATTTTGGTCCGAACTATAATAGGCGAAAGGAAGCCTAGAGAATCGTACAGCTGCGCGATCTCGGATAAAAACGGATTTTTTCGTCGTAGATTTTTGAGTTTTTGACGGATGTAAATTTAAATACGTCTTGCGGTTGCCAGCAAAGGCCTAATACCTTGATACGCAAGGAGTCGAACTCCACTGCGGAAGCATTACCACTTGATGAAGCAAATGATTTAATAGATCTAGACAGTTACTATTCCACTTTTGAAATCCGCCCGCCATGCAAAGTCGCCATACTTGAATCATCTCCTTAGCTTCTTCTACTGATTCAGCGCCCCTGAAGATGTCGTCAATATCACTTTAGACAACGATGATATGGCCTTAGGAAATCGATCATCCTCGTCATCGACGAGTTGTTAAAGCACTCGGAGAGCAAGGAAGCGTACACAATTTAACCCGCAAATAAGCGTTATCAATTGACATGAAAGTATTTAATCGTTTGAGTCGTACCAAAAAATACGCTGTAAGTCTCGATCGCTTGGATGAACAAGGATTTGTCGATACATTTTAGTGATATCCAATGAAAGTATTCGTATAGCGATCGAAACCATAGCAGTACGTCGAAGACGTAGAAGTTTGCAACTTAACTCATTCAACGATACTACAGGAGGGACTTGAACCGTTAAATACTACTCGAAGCTTCGTCGACTGGCTACTCTAGCGTAATACCCCATGATGCGGCAGGTAATACATTGGGGAGTCGTTCGCGTCGGATTCTATCACCAGAGTCATGTGTCTTAAAGATAGGTATTCTTGAAGAAAGTTCGTATATAGTTTACCGTAGAAGGGTTCATTTGCCGTTTCGGGTCGCGACAAACATCAGTGCCGTGGATATTGAGTCATCCAGCAATACTGCCGGAGACTTTAACGGGAATCGGGCTATATATCGTCCAATTTGATTTCGAGAACATTTAGAACAAAATTGCCTTTCGCAACTAACGTCATCAGGACTCAACGTCACCGAGTTTGACTTAGTCTTCTCTTGTTCTCAGAAACACGATAAAAGATCTTGTAGAGTATAATCAATCTGAAAATGATAAATCCCGCTATGAAGGCTATGAATATCCAACACAATACAGTCCCCGATATCGCCCATCCGAATACAGTTAGTTGAGCAATCGGAGACGAATCACCCTTAATCAATTCCGGCTTAATGATTTGACCATACAAATCGGCTCCAATAATCACCAGAATCGTTCTGGGTTTTCTGAAGTTTGGATCCGCGAGTTGTAAATTACGAAGGTGCGCCCAGGAAACGCGAGGGAGATCAAATGACGGTATTTTGAACGTTAGCCGCGACAGGATAAAAGTTTTGTAATACGCATGAGGCGGAATTGTCAACTGTAGAATGAAGCTTTAGACTAACTAAGCCTTTGGTGCGTCCTGCGTAAACCCTGCCGATACCGACTAGTGGGATCGCCGCAGATTTTCGAGGTAATCTTAACGACTGTACGAGATCCTCTACAACAAAGGACAATTTAGATCTCGGATCCAAAAGAACCCGAATATATTCGAGTCGGCCGTCGTGGGCTTTGATCGTAGCTCGACACGTAACGAGCAAGGTAAGTGGACGATGACTGACGATTTGTTGCTAACGAAGAATGCCGCTAGTCATTTCTGCTCCAAGTTGGAAGAGAATAAAGGCGAAGTACTGGCAACCAAATTATTCGAATCGGGTTTGATTTTTGATTTCGATTGTGTCTTACGATCATGTAAAGTCGTGTGATGCTTGCTGCCACATTTTCTACAACGACGCGGGCTAGGGCATTGTTTAGCGGCATGAGTTCCTAAGCAATTGAAGCACAAACTAAACTTGGAAACAGTATGCTTATGATGGATTGCGCAATGGATTGCGACAAAGACGTAGGGCAATTGTATAAAGAAGAATGGATTTATATAGCTGGCATTTTATTTCCTCTTTCGAAGTCGAGGCGGTTGTGACCATGTTACGGGATTTAGCATTCGGCTTACTTGAAATCCAAGAGGATTTCCTTTATCTTTAATAGGCTTGATTGACATGGAAACTAGACTCTCCCAAGCGCGTGTGTGACCAGTGACAAAATCCTCAAATTCCCTCAGAGAAGGATACGAGGTGGAAGGTCCTAACTTTATTTCCCATGCTTCACGAGTGTTGTCATCTAACAAACGAGCAAAAGAGGATTCCATGAACTTATATGACAATTTAGTGCTTCCAAGGCTCCTAGTGATTTAGAAATTGTGGCCATCATTGTGTTCAATTCTAGAGCAGATTTTGATTTGATGGGCCTCAAGCTAAATATTGTAGTTTGTCCAGTTGTGCAGAGATAAGCACTCGCTTATTCTCATAGCAAGAAACTAAGGTTTTCTAAGCGAGGTTACAAAAGGTGACCTTAAGGTTTGTGATGAGCCGAGCGGCGTCGCCCGTGAGGCACGTCTCTAAATAGTGCATCTTCTCCACCTTTGTCAAATTCATCATTCTCGTCCACTAGAGATGAAAATAAATCGTGGAAGGATTTCCAAGTATGGTAGTCCTGAAAAGGAGGGCAGATTAATCTTTAGCAAATTATTTCGACGACTGCTGAATTGTGCGTCCGTTGACGGAAGATTGGACGTTCGCGATGAGGGATTGGAAATTTCTATTATTTCCTGCTGGTCCAGTAATACCGCCTTCGTCTGGACGTAGAATTCTTGATCCCGTTCATATGTGCGGAGTTTCATATATGATTCCTCTCCGAGTTGTTCCACGTTCGCTTGACATATCTTTTCATGATCCATCTGAAACTTAGCCAATTCGTTTCCAGAACCTCAAGCTGAGTGCTCAATAAATGACGAGAGGGTAACTCAGATAATTTCTCCGAAGTATCCTCGGTGGCATTCTGAATCATAAGAAATCGATTCATTTGTAAGGAT